GTCCCTACTCTGTTCTTAGTTACTCTCCTTATATCAAAGAAGATATTTGGCATTTGTTTTTTTAAAAATTAGTTGAGAAGTACTATTATGTAAGGTTTATAGGATTAAGAGGCTGGTAACCTAGATTCTAATTCCACAATTATCCCCTTCACAGGAGAGCTTTAACAGTTCTTGCTTCACTGCACTTAATGTTTGATAAACATATTTATCTCATCTTTGAAATGAGAAGTTTGATTGGGTGATGCTCAAAACTATATTCTTTCAGGATTTTAAGTCCTTGAACCAGCTCATATGCCTTTATTTCTTACCCTCTAGCCCAATGACTTTCTTCTTCTTCTTCTTATTTTGGTACTGGGGATTTAACCCAGGGGCACTCTACCCCTGAGCTACATCTCCAGCCCTTTCTATTTTTTATTTTGTAACAGGATGTTACTAAGTTGCCCATGCCTCAGCCTCCCTAGTTGCTGGGATTATAGGCATGTGCCATTGGACCCATCTTTTGAATTATATACTTAATAGAGTTCTATTATGAATCAAGGATAAGTAGAAATTTATACTGCATATAATAGTGAAATAAAATATTTAAGACCAGTATTATATTATAAAATATAATATTTTCTTAAATATTATTCATTATTATTTAATTTTCTTAAATAAAAAGACCTGTAGAAAAATGGTTAAGAGTACACTCATCTCTGAAACTATAGTTTCCTACCTGCTGTTGATCATTTCTGTAATTATCTGCTTTTGCTGTTTTTGAAAGCTTGGTTTTCTGAAATTTCATAGTAGGAAGGAAAGAAGAAAAGACTGAGTGCCTCTTACAACTTCTTTCCTCCCCCATTTCCCATCCTTCACTTTCCCACCCTCAACATACTAATACACAAAGCAAGAAAATATAAGTACCCCTGCATCTATGGCTTTCATTGCAAGGCCTCATCCTAAACATCTCTCTTTAAGCTCAGCATCTATTCCAAAGGGAACTCTTCAAAGATAACCTTTCTTTATTAGAAGAGAATATCTGGGGCTTCCTCTGAAATGTAGATGAACCTTATTTCAATTCTTTGTGTACTGAAAAGACCCACCTTTCTCACCCTTGTGGCTTTTGTCTGTCCTTGTGTTATGTGAAGGATGGGGAGGAGAAGGAAGCTGCATCATGGAGAAAAGTGGCAGAAAACAGCTATGGAAAATGTGGGTAGTAGAGGACTAAGATCTACTACCATTTACATGCTAATGAAAACCAAAAATGCCTCTCCACCCCCCTCCCCATCCCACCCCTATTCGATCTGATTTGAAACTTTGTGACTTTTCTTTGGTATGTCATTTTGCCCCCTGTGTTTTTCTCATTGCTCTTAGCTATAAAAACTCTTTGAAATTCTCAAAATAAGGGAGGGCAGAGGACAAGCTGTGAAATTGCATTGTGTTCACAGTGGGTCTGTTGGGGAGGAAAACCAACCTCTGAAGTAACAGAAGGTAGAAGCAGGAAAGGAAGCCCACAGGTCCAGGCCTGGATTCTGAAAAAGATAGAACTTTCCTGAGGTGTATCAGTTAGGTCTGGACTTCCCACCTACTTTTAACCTCTTATGAGCTCAACCTCACATCCAGGTGACTGTTAAAAGATAACTTTCAAACTCTTCATAATGGGTACAAAATTCAAGTAAAAGAATTTATTTTTCATGATATAAGTGAACAGTTTATTTTCATGATATAAGTGAACAAGGCAGATGTTCTAACAAGTGCAAATTTATGTAGAATAAAGAATTTGAGGTCAATTGCAAATGGGGACAAAAGTTATTTTCCTTGGGGAAGAAGGGTGTCTGTAAGAACCAGTGGGACACAGGACAGAATCTGTATATGTGTGTGTGTGTGTGTGTGTGTGTGTGTGTGTGTGTGTGTGTGTGTGTGTGTGTCGTATACAACTTAAAAAGAGTTGCTAAATAGATAAAGACAAGAAAATGAGCTGAAAGCCTTATAAT